GGTCCTGGGAGTGTTCTGGGGGGTCCCGGGGGGGTTCGGAGGGGTCCTAGGGGGGCTCTGGGGGGTCCTGGGAGGGTTCTGGGGAGGTTCTGGGGGTGTTTTGGGGGTCCGGGTCCCCCCCAGGGTGAGGTGAGGGAGGCTCCTCTGGGTCGGGGGTCCCGACCACCTGTGTTTTTCTGGGGTGGGGGGTGGTCCCCGGCAGTTGGGGGGGTCCGGGGGGGGGTCCCCGCTCACCCTGCGCGTGGGGACACTTGTGGCACTTGCTCTGTCCCCAGGCGCTGCCGATGCTGCCGCAGCAATCCTCCAGCTTGGTGAGCCCGGGGAGGGGGTTGCTGCCACACTTGGGGGGGGCACGGGGGGGGTCAGCACCCCAAAACACCCCCCGAGACCCCCAAATCCCACCCCGAACCCCCCAGGGACCCCCGGCAGCGGTGCCGGAGCTCGGTGAGCCCGGGGAGGGGGTGCTGCAGCATTAAGGGGGGGGTCAGCACCCCTAAACACCCCCCGAACCCCTAAAACACCCCCAAAACTCCCATCCCCTCCCGAGCCCCTAAAGATCCTCTGGACCCCCAAATTTCCCCCCCCCCGCGCGACCCCCCCTCACCGAGTGCTTGGGCAGGGTCTCCTGGAAGCAGCGGCCCAGGGGTTTGTGGGTGTGGGGCCGGGGGGGCGCGGGGGGCTTGCTGCCCGCGGGGGGCTGCGCGGGGTGCGCCAGGAGCCCCCCCCCGCCCCGGGGAGCCCCCTCGGGGGGTCGCGGTTCGATTCGATGGACCTGGACCGAGGCCTCGGGGGGGTGATGGACCCGAACGTTCACCAGGGGAGGGGGCACCTGCGCTGGGGGCAGCGGCACCTGGGACCCCCCGAACCTCCGAACCCGGCACCTGAGACCCCCCAAAACCCCAAACCCGGCACCTCGGACCCCCCAAAACCCCAAACCCGGCACCTGAAACCCCCAAAACCTCCGAACCCGGCACTTCGGACCCCCCAAAACCCCAAACCCGGCACCTCGGACCCCCCGAACCTCGGAACCCGGCACCTGGGACCCCCAAAACCCCAAATCCGGCACTTGGGACCCCCAAAACCTGGCACCTGGAACCCCCAAAACCTCCGAACCCGGCACCTGGGACCCCCTCGGAGCCCCCAAACCCAGCACTGGCACTCTGGGATCCCCCCCGAAACCCCCAAAACACCCCGAGATCTCCCCCAAATCCCAAATCCCGGCATCCTGAGACCCCCCCCAAACACAGCACGGACACGTGGGACCCCCCCAACCCCAGTGGGACCCCACGGGACCGCCCCATATGGACATGGGACCCCCGGAACTCTCTGCCCCCCCATACCCCCGAGACCCCCCGAGCACCCCCAGACCCCCCCGGTACCTTCAGCCGAGTGGTGCCCCGGGCCCAGGGGCACGACGAAGGTGGCGTGGCTGACGTGTCCCCCCCCCTGCGCCCCCCCCCGGCCCCCCCCGTGCC